ACTCGTTTTCAGGGCCTGGGGCAGGTCGAGAAGCTGGGCTCGGCCTCACCGGGTCCTGCAGCCCCAGGGAAGGGGGGAAGGCAGGAGATGGACTCGCACATCAGTGCCTGGTCGTGGGTTTTGCATTTAAAGCGGTTAATTCTGAAAGCATTTGCTGCTGTGGAAGGTCTCTTTGCATGAAAGTCACTGAAGTCTGAGAAACAGCATCTGTGGTGCTCTAGCAAACAGAAATGTGGGAAAGGAGGAGAAGGTGCTATAAAAGTAATCACTGCTGCTAAGAAGAGGCAATAAATTTCCTTCCAGCTGGCCTTTTAATCTATCTTTTAACTGCCTTCTGCTGCAAGTGAAAGAAATGACATTTATTAGTCTTTATTTGCAAACTGAGTCAAGATCTAAGCTTTTTTCCCTATTGTTTAATGTACCCATTGTTTTTCTGTAGGTATACCTTAAAGGAGTAACATCAATTATGCTTTTGTTTTAGGCAGAGAGGAAAGATTTTGTATGCCTCTTTGTGGAGGTGTGAGTTTTCCTTCACTACTCAGGTATCTATTTATGAAATATGTAATAGAGGCAGGCTGAACCAAGTGGAGTCTGATTTCAGAATGTGGTAGTTAAGCTGAAGGCAAAGTCACACTGAAATGAATGAAGCTAGAGTAAATGTAGCTGCTTTTCTGAAAAATACTAAATCTCTTCTGTGAGCATTCTGCCTTGACATGCCTTGACCTTTTATATTTGTGTAATTTGATTTATTTAATGAGCTGATCACATAAGCTCAAAGTTCAAATTTTGACATTACTTATTAACTCTTTTTTAATTTGACCTTTACTTTATTTGCAGTGGGTTTTGTTACATCATTAGAGTTTTTCATTTTTCACTTGCATTTTTATTTATTTATTTTTTTTGTCCTACAAGAAGCTTATGTGCTCTTCTAACTGTTTGGAACATTTTACTGCTGTGTTCCAAACTCATCATGGAAGTAATCTGTGTTGTTAACCTTGTTTTCTAAACAAATCTTATACAATTTTACTATCCTAAATAAAAAGCTATCATTTGGCTTCTTTGTGACATCACACATCATAAATATTCAGCTTGGGTTTGAGATTCTGTGTCATTCTCAGTTTTTATGGTTCATTACCCATTTTCAATGAAATTCCTATGGGTGTAATGCCTTGACCTAAAATTGTTTCAGGCATTTGAGTTATTCTATTCACTAGAATATCTCCTGAAACATTTATGTAGGTGTAAATAATGCCAGCTGAAATTCTCTGGGGTTCTGAGTGATAATTCATGGAAAAATACTTCATATTTCCATTTTACTCAATTTTTCATGTCCTGTACTTACAAAAACATGTATTGCTCTACCAAGATCTATAAAACTTATCTTCAAAGATAAACCATTTTATCTGAGACTTGCTTCTCTCACACATTTTCAGCCATAAACAAGAGCATCACTGCAGTTGAAACAGGTTTATATATGACTGACTTACAGTGGAAAGATTTTAGTAGGTCTACAGTGAGAACTTCTGGTTTCCTTCATGTGCAAGTTTAGAAAATACACAAGAATTTGCAGAAGTGTAGTTTCTCTAGCTGGCATAAGGAATTCAGCCTGGAGGAGAATTCTCAACACAAAGGGAAGGTCCAGCTGTACTGCTGTGGCACTAAGCACACAGGGAGCTCTGTTGAAGAAGTTATCTTCTCCAGCTTCTGGAACATCCCTTGCCTGGGAGGGATAGGTGCTACAAGTGTAAATTAAAAATAAATAAGTTAAAACCAAACAAACAAAGTTTTGGGGGGAGATGGTATCTATAGGCAAAATATGAAAGTGGGGGGAAAAAAGCAGGCTGAAAATGCTGAGTGTAAGAAAAAGTTTCTGGTAAAATGTTCACAGAATCATTTGAGTTGGAGGGGACCTTAAAGATCATCTAGGTCCAACCCCCCGGTTGGGCAGGGACACATTCCACCAGCCCAGGCTGCACAAGCCTCATCCAGCCTGGCCCTGAAACACTTCCAGGGATGGGGCCTCCACGACTTCCCTGGGTAACCTGTCTCACCACCCTCATAGTGAAGAATTCCCTCCTAATGTCTAAGGGAAAAGAAAGTGAGAAGGAAGGAGGGACAAGAGAGGAAAGGAAGGGCAAGAGAGGTTGAATAAGGGCAAAGAAGGTCAAATAAGGGTGCATTCAATCCCACTGTCCATGTCACTGACAAAGATGTTAAACAGCAGGTTTAAAAATGTTAGCAAGAAATATGTTGCCTGTTTCAATTCTGAAGTTTCTCCCTAGGATTATATAAAAAACACCCTGCAAATGTATAATTGCATTTAAGTGAGCAACATGTCCCTTATTTCTGAAATAGCAATTTTTTTTTTTTCATTTTAGCCCGCAAATTCACAGACAAGCATGAATGGGTATCTGTTGAAAAGGGCATTGGAACAGTAGGAATCAGCAATTTTGCACAGGTATTGATCCCTCCCCCCCTGACCCAAGCCTGCAATATTTATTTATGCACATCTGCTCTCGTCCTTGCTCTTTGGACAGTTACTGGGTTTTATTGTTCTAACTGCATCTGCTGTCCACTGAGCAGCAGAATATAAAGCCTCCTTTATTACTTCAGTTCTTACAGGAGTCTGGATTTTGTGGCTGTGTGAGGAGGTTATCATGCACTTCTCAGGCCAGATTTCCCTGCACATGAACTTGGTGCAGTCCCTCTGGCTAAAGACCAGTTGTGAATACAAGTACAATATGGCATGTATTTCTTACTCTAGGATAGGAATTCTTTTGGGTGTTTTGTTTTGTTCCCATGCAAGTACTTGATTTGGAATAGTCACAGGCAAATTCGGGATAGAGATTTGCTATTTGTGTGTGAAACCTAAGAAAATCTAATGTGAGAAGCTATCAGTGAAGTGGAATTAATGTTTTTTCAGGACAAGTAGTGTTTTGTAAACAGCACTAATTCTTTGTAAGACCCTTGGTCTTTTGTGAGATAGAGCACATCTGTCAGTGAGGAGGCAGAAGCCTGTTCTGGTTGAGCCGATTCTTATGGTGATAAGGCTCATTAATCAGCAAGAACAAACTGGATGCTAAGGGCTCTCCAGTTGGCCGTGTCTTTAGGGGGGAATCATTGTGTTTGCTTTCCCATTGCACTGGAAGTAAATCCTCCGTGCTTTGTAACAAAAAGAGAATTCCCTCCAATCACTGGAAACTCTTTTAAAGCAGTTGTTACTCTAGTTGATGCTAAGAAACTAAGAAGTATCAACAGATACTATTTCTTACTCTGCCTGAAGGAACCTTGTAACTTAGCCTGAGGGTTATTAACACTGTAATAGATAAACAATAATTTGGCATTTGGGGCATGATAACGAACCAGTTTTTTCAAGTGAAATAAAAATATGCAGTCCTTAAAGAATGAGAACTAAATTTAGAGACAGAGAATTACTTATCTACAAATTCTACAGTTACTGTATCAGATCTCTCCTACCTATAGTTCCTTTAATGTATGCTTTGATGCTTTTGTTTTTCTTTTAAGGAAGCATTAGGGGATGTTGTTTATTGTAGTCTTCCAGAAGTCGGGACAAAACTGAGTAAAAATGGTAAGTTTCAGCTCTAATTTCTAATGAAACAATTATCCTAAGTTATCCCACTCTCCTTTTGCAAGGATGAATTTTATGAGGTAATCCTTATGTTCATTAATACCATTATAAAGTTTCTAGATGCAAAATAAATTCAGGTATTTCTGTGAGAGACAGCTTTCATTTCAAATTCTCACTGTCAGACCATGCATGGTAGCAGAAAATTCATTAAATTGTGAACACATTTATTTAAAAATAAAATATTTGAAATATCGTTTTGCAATAACTTCACGTTCTGTTTTTAAAATACTTACGCTTTGATTTGGACTTGGTAGTGTTTAGGCTGGCTTGTTTGTAACTCTGTTACACTTTGCATCAGTTGCATGATGTGAAACATATAATTGATACCAAGCTCTGATTTTTCTATGAATATACAGACTCAGTCATGTTTAGCTATCAGCTGTAATCACAGATTTTTCCTCATTAGCGATGCACAAATTGTTACATTCTTAATCACTCAGATCTGTAATTTTCAATGTTAAAGAAGAGTGATGTTAAAGAAAGGAAAAGCCTATTTCTGTATTTAAAGGGGAAGCTGACTTTCTAGAATATGAAGAAAAGATTGTCATTAGTATCAGGCATTGCAGAAAAATAATTCAGATTCAATGAGGTAAAGTAACAGGCCTTTCTTCTGCCATCCTTCTTGTGGAATTGGTCCATATCGAACTGGTTGAGCCAAATTTCATTGAATGGTGAATGCTGAACAGAAAGCTTTTCTCTTTAGGGTTTCATTTAAGCAACTTTTAGTTTTGTTTTATCTGAAGGAATTTAATTTCTGTTTAGTTCTTCTCTTTTCTACCCACTCTGGCCTACGTCTAATGCCAAGTTTTCCCAGAACATGCTGTCCTCTGATTCCTTGTGCTGCTGCCTATCTACTCTTGTGACAGCTCCGTGTTACTCCAGCCTCTGTCTTGTTTGCTTATGGCTCAGAGTTACACTGGGCTAATACAGCTCCAGGCACCATTTCCATAACTGCCTACAAAATAGAAGAAAGGGAGGAGCAGCTGGGTGATTCCAGGGTGGTGCTTCTGAATACTAATGTGTGTTTCCCAGTGAGTGCAAATGTAACACTTTATAGTGTTTCTGAAGAAAAACTGGGATTCCTGAAATTGTGGATGTAACTATTTTGCAAACAAATAATGTATACAAATGTTTAAATTGTGGATAAAAGACATACTGAGTTCTCTTGCAGCAAGAGCTCTATGTGGTTTCTTCCAGCCTGATACCATCTCCTATATGCCATAGGGCTTTAGCCAAAGGATTAGCCAAATGTAAGAAATTTCTCTTCCTTCTGTAGTAGCCCAGCACCAGCTAGGGTTGTGCAAGGTCCCCAGAACAATTCAGGAGCATAAACATAAAATTAATACTGCTGAGCATTGTCATAGAGTTGGTGACTTCGAAATCTCTGACAGTTTTCCTTGCTCAAGATCAAAACACTTCTTCAATGGCTAGGTCACCACCAGAATGGCTGACTGAAAAAGACTGAAATGCTTTGTATTTTCCTCTTAAAAGCATTCAATCATACTCTGTGTTTCAGATGAGTTTGGAGCTTTGGAAAGTGTGAAAGCTGCTAGTGAACTCTACTCACCTCTCTCAGGAGAAGTGACTGAGATTAATGCTGCACTTGCAGATAATCCAGGACTTGTCAATAAATCTTGTTATCAAGATGGTAAGAGGTCATTTTTATCTTTCAATAATGAATACCACCTGGATTCTTGCTATAAAAAATGGCTATGCAATTCCTAGTTCTTCCAGTTTAATGGTGGGGAGGCTTAAATGGAATATATTGAATATAGTTCAAGCCCAATAAAATTGAACATGAAAGTATGATTGTAGTCTTGTCTTTGCTGACAGCTGTTTTACAATGTGTTCTTTTCTGACATAGACTGCCTGAGTTAAAATCTATTTCCCTTGATCACATTTCTCTTTCTTTTTTAAATCTTCTAACAGCTCATGATTCTGAGAGGTCAGGCTGTGTTACTCTTTCTAGACAGTGTCTCCTTAATGCCACTGTCAGAGACAGTACTAAATTAGACAGCTGGGCTGACTCAAAAGGCCATTTCTTATGACAGGTTGCTTATTCATTTTTTAAAGTATTGAAACATTGTTTTGCCTTCACAAATCCTACCAGTGTGCCCACTGGGAGTACTTCTCTAAGGCAGCAACATGAGTGATTCTTTCTTGTAGGATATTAGCAACTCTTTATCTTTTTAATTTCTTAACTACAGGCTGGCTTATCAAGATGACTGTGGAAAAACCCGCTGAACTTGATGAACTGATGAATGAAGATGCCTATGAGAAATACATAAAATCCATTGAGGACTGAGCTGGAATAATGAAATAAATCCATATAAAATATTTCAGTTTAGTTTGTCTTCCGTTGGTGAAGTACAGCATATCCAGTTTTGGCAACCTGGAAAATACCACTTCTGATCACACATACAAGGCCATAACTAATTGTAGTGATAAAGATGTTTAACATCTGTATACCTGTGAGGAAACAAAATCTATGTGCCAAAATATACACTTGCCAAGATTCATTTGACAATCAAATTTAGTAACAACAGCCTTAATATGGTAACTCTGTAGTAGGCACATGACTCTTCTTGTAACCTGGACTACAGCTTTCCCTGAAATACTTTTCTATTGAAAAAGTGTCTTTCTAGCCTCCTAATATTTTTCCTAATTATAGTTGCAAAGGTTATATAAAAATGTGAGAAACCGAATCAACTACCTCTCTGCATGATTTTTACTTCTTTACAGAATTTATTAATCCTTTGTTTTCCTTCTTTGTTTAATATGTAATCCAGTAGTTCTGCCTTTGAGGCAGAAGGTATGGTCCCTGACTTCTGATGTACCTATTTTCTTAGTATGCAAAACGCATGCAATGATAGTTTATTGAGGTTCTGGTGTGGATTGTTGAGGCTGTATTTTTTGTCCGGTAAACACTACCAATGTCAGAAGTAATTCAGGAATTCTACATCTCGTGCATAGCAATTGTGGTGATTTCAGAGGAGTGAAAGTGTGATCCCTAATACTTTGAGGTATAATGTATCCCTGTGTATCTGTCTTGAAAATCAAATAGGCACACTGATGTAGTGACACCCCAGGAATGAAACAAAAACTTTCACTTTGCCAACCAGGGAACTAAAGCAGCTGAATCCATTAGACTCAATATTTAATGAATACTCAGATGTGCATTCAAAGTTGATGTGACATGTAAGGGTTGAGTTGTACAACCCTACACTTCAGGGAAACATAATAGTACAGCCAAGTGTTGGCCTAAAACTTCTCCCCACTATTTAAAAACAGTGATTAGAAGCTTAAGCACAAAATAGGAATGAAAACCAACTATCTACAAGTTGACATAAGAAGTAGCAGAAGAATGTTTAATCCGTATAAAATGAGCAAGGCAAGATTCATGTTCCTTTGGAAGTTCCTTTCAAAAGCACAGACCTTCTAAAGGGTAGAAATGCACTGCAGGTTATAAAGAAACCTTTCTATTGTATAAAAATGTAGGGCTTTCTTTTATGATCTGAAGGGATGTCAAAGTAATTGGTAGGTTTGTTAAATCCCAGGAGCTAATTTTCCTACATGAGTTGCAGATAAAAGCCCTGCCAAGAGAGACTCCACTATGTATTTAAGATAAAGCTATCTTCTCCACTGGAGTTAAACTGCAAAGTCACTAAGAGGAAGGAGTGAGTTTGTTCCACAGGAGTCCTAACTTGACAGAGGCTGATAAACAAAAGGCTTAAGTAAACCTAGTGTAAATGCTTTAAAACCTGTCAGTACTTACCCATTATTCACAGTATCATGCAGCATTTATTGTGGCAACATTCAGGGCCCAGAGAGCTGGGAGCTTAATCCGGGCCTCTTACAGACTCCCAGTGTCAGTTTGGATCTTCAACCTCCCTGTGCACTTTCCAAAAGAAAAGAGAAAGTTTCTTTCAAAGCAGCATGATTGCAGGCAAAGGGAGACAGGAACGCATGAAAAAATGTTTCCATTTCATACTGTTTCTTCCACCCTATTTTTTCCAACTTTACTGGAGCGTAACAGGCCCTTCATTCATAGCCATGTAATACATGGCCCTTGTGGACCTCCCTTTAAAGGTTAGTCCAGAGCACTGTAATGCCTTTTTATAAAATTTTCCCCTGAAGACGTTTGTATTTCTTTCCTTTTGATCAGTGAAATATGAAACTGTAATTTTCATAATCCCTGAAGAACCTGGGGAATAGTAAAAACTGGGAAATCTGATCTCTTCCTCAAGCTTTGCCCTCACCTGTGGATTAACAGTGCTTATAATGTGACACGTGAGTATGGATAAATGACGAGTTTCTGGAGAAACCATCTGAAATAGAATTCAGCCTCTTTTTTTAATGGAGTACAGCTGGAGAAAGTATGTTCTTAAAGGGGAGGACCAAGAATGTCTCTATGCCTAGTTCTTTTTGAGTTTTATATAACCCCAAAGTGATGTATTAGATATCCCAGATCCTCTTGAAATGGGAACAATACTACTTGGGTGCTTTTTGTGTTTGGTTTATGCTGAGAGCTCTGGTGCTCTGCAGTTATTCAGGCCAAAGGTTGTCTATTGGAGCAAATATTTTTATATCTTTCTACAGGCCACTCAACTGCCTGAATTATGCTGTCAAAAGAATGTATTCTTCCTTGTTTGATACATGCTACTCAAGCAGAGCTCCTGGCTTTCAAATAATCCCATAGCTTCACTACATTGAGCAGCAGCGGAAGCCTCAGGCAGACCACCATGCACAGGTTGGAGCCAGACTCTGCAACAGCAGGAATACAAAACTAGCCAACATGAATCCATAACATGCCTTTCAGCAAAGTGAAAAGATGGAGTCAATGTGTATTAGCTCTGGTCTATGACACAATTTTAAATGCTTTTGTATAAATCGTAGGGGAAAATATGAAACTTGTTCACCAGTGTGTGCTCCTACACAAAATGAATAAAGGAGATTATTTTTTATAAAATAATCACTTTACCTGTGACCTCTTAAGTCTTGATCCTGAGCTTAACACTCAGTTACTGGATACAAAACATTATAAACTCAGATTGGTTTACGGCAAATGATGATTTCCAAAGTTTTCCCAAACTAAAAATTATGTATCTCCTAGGGGTTAATTATATCATCACCTTTCTTTGCCAACACTTTTGTTCCACAAGTACCAACCCCTGTATCTCTCAAATTATCTACCTGAATAATATAAGCTAAACTTGGAACTAATTTTTTGATCCAGATTTAGTTTTCTAAGATTTTTATCAACATCATTCCTGAGAAGAATGCACACCTAACAGTCTGTCTGTTTTGCAACTAACAAGGTGCTGCTTCTCCCTGTGAATCTTGACACATCATGTATATAGATACAAATCATGTGCTTGTTACTTCTTACCAGAGGAAAACATATAAATGGTATGAAACTAACAAAACACATACATAATAACATTTGGTGGTGTTTTGATGAGCATAAAACAAGGGCCATGTTGACTTCACAGTCATTAAATTAGCAGTAAGACGGTTACCTAAGCAGCTCTGATAATGAGGTTAAAAGTGCAGCAGAGCTCATTTTCTAATGCTCCCCTTAACTGGTGTCTCCAGACAGTTCATGTCCTGTGGATAAGGATTCTCTTTCCTTTTTCTTCATGCTGATGAGGAATTTACAATCCTCCCGTAGCGATGGCTCCTGTCACAAGAGTTTTAATACTCCAGACTGACACATAAAGGACATAACATCTATCTTCACATCAGTCCACTCGTGAGTGAGCAGAACTGCACCAAGAAATCAACCAAGACTGATCCTCAGCTCCTCAACTGAGTATGTGGGGTCTTTCTGTCATGATGTTGGGAGATATCACACAGCAAGAGGCAAGTGAAACTGCACCACTTGCACTGCCTATTTTGGGGAAGAGAGAGAAAACCTAAGAATAGTGCTTAGTTAATTAATAACACGAGCTCACCACTGGGTGAAATGCTCCAGGCTGTCGAATGGTGACATGTGCTGATTAATTAATTCCAAGTTAGAAAAGAAATGATTGCAGAATTTCACCACACGGTGGCTCTCAAAACGTTAACGATGGTGACCCGGTCGGGCTGCCTGGATTTCTGCTTCGGGTGCTGAAAGGTACCACGGTCACATTCC